CGGGGCTCCCTGCGACTGCAGAGCCCGCAGCTGAGGAAGGACGTGGGTAGAGTCCTAGCTGAAGAGTCTTGCACAGAGGCCCAGCGCTGGAAGACAGAGAGCACCTCTGGGCAGAAAGAGGGGCCCGCTCCTTTCCCCAGTGCCCCAGTGCTGCGGCTCCAAGCTGCGGGCGTACTTGGAGCGACTTAGCTAGGGCTCCGGCCCTCGCCCGCTCCCCACAGCGTTCCAGCGGCTCCAGTGTGCCAGCGCGCACACTCATACTTATCCAGACCCACACTCTCCCCGAGAGGAGCTCCCGGGACCTGCAGAGCCTCGCGCACGCACTCCCTCCGGTGCCGCACACTGCACCCACCCAGCTACGTTGTCGGATACCATGCTCCGACCACTGCACGGCGCCACCTACCTTTCCAGACAGCAGAGATGCGGGGTCCGCTCTTCGGGTGGCCTTGAGTGTCTGCGGCCGCCCAGAACAGGAGCAGTAGCAGCCGCAGCCGGAGCCCAGACCGAGCCCGCGGGCCAGGAATGCGGTAGCGTGGGACGCGGAGGGAGGTGCATCCGGGCGGAGGCGGTGACATCCCGCGGCCCGGCTGGGAAGCCACAGCAGCGAGCAGCCGGTGACTGACTGAGCCAGCACCCCAGCGCAGGAAGATACCAGCTCAAAGAGGCGGAGTCAAATGCCTGACCCCACCCCACGCCTCCCCCACCCTTGCAGCCTTTCTCGCCTCCAGGCTACCTAAACGGGACACAGTGCCGGGGGAACCTTATTCATCCTCTCCCAGGCAGTTCCACAGGCCGACCAGGGCAAGGCAGACGTCTTCTGTGGTCCTCTGTAGTCACGGTTCCCTAGGGGCCTCAGATCCATTTCCCCCAACCCATGAAAGGGTTGGACTAGAAGTTGGTGGACCTCTCTGAGGGTACAGGCAGGTCCATTACCAGGCAACCTCCCTAATGGCCGGCTCAGTGGTTTGGACCCTGAAGGCTGTGGTTCTCCTGGGTAGATTGGCCTGAGTGCACATGGCTCCCTCTGAGCCTATAAGCAGGAGCAAGAAGCTTCCCCCTACAGTGGGTAAGTGGCAGAGAGGGTTGATGAACTGTGGGGAGCACTTAGCACCCCATCATTGCTCTGCTGTGAAAAGGTAGAATTTTCATCTTGGCCTGGTTCCCTCTCCCTTTCCTCTTCTCCCCCTTCCTCAACCAGCAGCCTTCTGGGCTGCCTCCCCCAGCCAGCTGGTATGTGCTCAGAAAATCCAAACTCATTTCCATGTGAGTGCAGGGGGATATAATCAACAAGGCCCCTAACCTACGCAGAAAGAGAGGGTGAATCTTGCATGCTTAGGACTCACTGTGAGGAGGCAGGGTCAGATAAGCTCTAGGGGATCCCTGCTCACCAGCTACAAAGAGCTGAGCTACTGAAGGCAACCTGGTGAATCCCCTGCAGGGTGGAGGCCCAGTCCCAATGCAGTCACCTGAGCAACCCAGGCAGCTCTCCCGTCAGCTCTGCCCAAAGAGGCCAGACCCTCCACCCTGGCTTTGCCTGAAGGAGCCATGGATGGGAAATCCACTTATCCAGTGCTTATAAGATGTCTCTCCCCAGCTGGACTGCACTGAGAAGACACAGGGTGAGGAGGAGGTAGCAGTGATGCATGTGAGCCTCCAAGACCCACACACCTGAGACCTGGCTGGACTTGATTCACACACTGCAGACTCCAGCTAAGACAGATGCCAGCTAAGACAGAGAGCAGGGTGCCCCAGCCCCACCCCTAGCCCCAGCCCTCTGCCCTCATCTATAGCTGGGAAAGTATTGTTACCAGAAACTTTCCTTGACTATTCCAGATTTTGTTTCCAGCTATCCCCTCCATCTTCCCTAAGAGCTCCAAGGTACCCCAACAGACCAAAAGGGTAAATCAAGATGCCTCCAGAGATAGTGCAGGGCTAGGTTCCTGGTAGACTGGGTAGAGTCAACAACTTCTTAATGTCCAGAGGTATACTACCCCAAAAAGAGGGAGGCTCTGGACAGTTCAAGAGCCCCTCCCCAGGCCTGTACCAACTAACACCTGTGGCCCCGAAGCCACCACCATGTCCTGGCCCAGGCTAGCCTCCAAGACTGTGTTTCCAGTCCAATGCCTCATCTGCTGAGCTAGCTGTACAGCCCCTAGTGTCTGCCCTCTCTGAAAAAGTAAGCAAACTAAGAAATTGCCTGCCCCTGCCACTAAGAACTGAGAATTCATAATTAATAACACTACTCATCACAACACACAACTCACTTCCACCTATATTCTCCTTGAAGTCCTATATTCTTCCCCTCAGTGATAAAGTATAACCCCATGTTAGAGAAGAAAACTGAGGCAGAGAGAGGGAGGGATCTGCTCAAGGTCAGCTAGTGGAGCCAAGATAGGAACCCGAGTTTCTGACTCCAGTGGCAACAGCTAACACTGAGGCTACTGTTCTGTGCACGTTTCTTAGCCTCATTTTAACATCTTCACAATCTTATGAGGTGGGTGCTAGGTTTTGGCTCCTTTTGCAAACAAGGAAACCAAGGAACATAGAATGTGATGTCCCCAAGGTCACAGTCAGAGAAGGGCTGAGATTAACACTCAGGCAGTCTCTGGGGCCCACACCCTTATCTTCTACAACATAATGCTCTTAATGCAATGCACGCTTTTGCTACTGCCTCCTGTGTTAGGCTGGATTCTGGATCCAAATGATTCTCCAAAAGACCTGGACAGAGCCTAGGTTAACAGGTGTTGGGCAGGAGAATAGGCCAGGGGCTAGGCTCAGCCTTTCAAGCAACAAGGCAGCAGATGGAAACTGGGGCAGATGCCAGGAAATTTTTTTTCCAGGCTGAGGTGGGGGTTAGGGAGTTGTGCTAAAGAACATCCCACCTCATGTCCCAGGGTGGCCCTCTGTCTGGGCTCCTGCACGGCCAGCTCAGCACCTGCTTTACCACCAGTGGGCATCCCCAAGCCAGCCAACCTAGGGGCAAAGGGCCAGGGCCAGATTGCAGCCCACTCTTACTTGGCTACAGGCAGCCAGGGGAGGTGAGAACCAGGCCTACAGAAGGAGAGGGCAGCTAGACTATGGGCATAGAGGAGAGCACAGAACCAATGTTTTTGTGTGGCCTCCCTGCCTGAGGCAGCACAGGGAAATAAAATGAGAATAGAACAGGTATTCTATTCTGTGGAGGCCACGCTGGCTCCTGGACCTTAAACAAGGACAGGGGCACAATCCCCACTCCCAGACAATGATGGGAAATGGACTAGCAAAGGAAGCAACAGATGTGTAGGCTGACAGGTCTCAGGAAGAGGCACATTTCTGTCCTCCTCTTCCTGCTGACTCCGAATATGGGGGCATGCAGGGAGGCCAAGAGAAAGAAATGATGTGGGGGCTCCTATCTAGGAGAAAAATACCTTGACAGGGTCTTCCCTGTAGGGCAGCTAAGGCACAGCCTAATCTAAGAAGCTTGGAGAATCAGAGAAATGAACACACACCCCTGAGGTTCACAGGCCCAAAACAGCAGAAGCCCTGGAAGCCCTCCTCAGCCTTCCAAGCAAAGCCTTTCAGGGCCCTACTCAGAGCATGCCTCCACTCTCCAAGCTTCCTGACCCCCCTCCTCAGCCGATTCTATGGTCTTCAAAGGAGTAATCGCCCCTAACAAGAGGCCTGTGGGAGGTTAAGGAACCCATGCCCACAACAGCCCTTCCTGCTAGATCCATCCTTGCTACAAAGCCTCAGAACTTGGTGCCCACCTAGGCCTTCTGGCTACTACCAACAGCAGCTCTTACTACCCCTCCCCGACTTCATTGCAGGGAGCAAAGACCAGGGAGATCCTGAGAGTAGTGAGGCAGGTCTGGGGGATCTGGGAGCCCAGAGAGAGCATATGACCTGTCTGCAGGGTAGTTTCAGCCCACACAGCACTGAGCTTGTGGAAGGAGCGCCACCTGGTGGCCACTCCATAGAGCAGCAACTTAGCAGCGAGTAGTTAGACCGTGTATATACTCCCAAGTTTTTCTGAAGACAAATTCCTCCCTCCACCCTACCCCCACCTCTAAATTCATTTCTGAGCCTCCATTCACAGTGCCTAAGGCAGAGCGGGATCTCGTGGGAGACATGTGGAACCCATCTAGACTAACAAAGTCTCCTGACTATATATGAGTGGGAGGCCAAACATAAAATCCCATCTTGGCTACTGACTCAAGTTAAGCAAGGCCCTACCCCGTCCCAGGCCTCCATTTGTTTACAAACTGAGAAAGAGGAACTAAAACATCAGTTCTTCTGGTCTATCTCTTATCCACAACAGATATAGACAAAGCTTTCTCATTCTATCTTCTGCACTGCCTTCTGGTTTGTAGGTTGAAATAAATATGCTTTTGAAACCATCCCTACAGGATAAAAGGTATACCAAGACTCTCCCAGCTCTGATGTGATCCTTGGGCCTGCTGGGGCCACCTGGGGAAAAGAAATGCATGCAGATACATGGTTTCCCCAAAACAGTTCACTTTCTTTCATAGATATGGTGATCCAAGAAGCCCAATTCTTGAGTGGAACTCTCAGTGGTCATTCAGTCCAACCTGGGAGCCCCTTACAACAGCCTTTATGCCTTTATGGTGGTCATGCAGTCACTGCTTACATACCTCCAGTGACAATGAGCTCATCCCCACAGCAGCCTGGACCATCTTGTTTGGCTCTGACACAAAGTCTTCTCCCCAGAGGAAGATACCCTCTTCCCCCAGTGGCCATAAATATACCCTCCAAGGCCACATGTCTAATCTCTCTTCCTAGTATAGAGCTCTGGGGATTTCAACACAGAAGCCATACCCTTCTAAATCTACTTTTTCAGAGTAAATAACCCCAGTTTCAACTAGGTCCCTCATGGGACTTTGCTTGGTCTATTGTTTTTTTAAATATTTTATCTTTATTGATTTTAGAGAGAGAGAGAGGGAGGGAGAAACATCGATGAGAGAGAACATTGATTGGCCGCCTCCTGCATGCCCCCCACTGGGGATCGGGCCAACAACCTCGACATGTGCCCTGATCGGGAATCAAACCAGTGACCTCTTGGTGCACAGACTGACGCTCAGTGAGCCACACCAACCAGGCTGCTTGGTTCTCTAATCCTGCTGGATTCCCAGGATATCAGTCAGTCACTTAACAAATTTCTACTGAGCCCTCCTAGGTACTAAGCAGCCCAGTTTGTGTCTACCTCCTTCAAAGATCTAGTGTTGGATCAGAATGCAACCACTAGAGGAGAGGCTGAGCAGTAAGAGGGCTGGAAAGACTGCCCTCTAAGCTCCTGATTACAATCCCTCCTAAGGTACTGTTTCATGAAAATGAGACACCAGGCTGTTAAATCTTGTTGATCTTAGCCCAGGATCATCCTTGGGCCAATTCCCATCCAGTAGTGGCTTTCTGTAACACCAGGTGTGAAAGACTGGGTTTGAACCTGAGCCCAGGATAAGAAATGAGACCCTATCTTCAATGAGAACAATGGTTTTCTAGTCCCCACCACAGGACCGTAGATTGTCCTTGTTCCTCTTGTTAGAGTTGCCTCGTTGTTGGGATCCTGACTTTGTTAGTCATCTAGATCATTTACCAGTCCAGCTCTGAGTGTACTGGCATCTCTGATATAAAAATGGTCAATATTCACTTATATAAAATATTGAAGACATTTTCAAACAAGACACAACTGAGGCTCCATGAGATGTCTGTGGGAGATCACAACCTCAGTGGGTCTGACTTAGAAGCCTGATTCCCCTCCAAGATTCAAGTTGCCACTTCCAGGACAGATGAGTGGTGAGCAGACCCTTCATCCCTCTGAGTAGCTACCAGGACTGCCAGCAAGACACAAGGCCCCAGGTGGTGCACTGATGTGACTGTGCTGATACAATCCCACCCAAGCTCAGGAAAGGCACAGTAACATCCTATTAACAGGAAGCACTTATCTGTAAATAGAGATAATATCTACTACTCGGGATCACTGGAGATGGCATATGTGAGTGCCTAGCTCAATGGCTGGTACAGAGGGTACTTGATAAATGAGCACTATTGTACTGCATTGCTGTTAGCCACTTTTGCCAAGGTAGAGTAGGGAGGGCAGTGCCTGAATCTCTGCAGAAAGCATCTCAAACCTAGAGTAAGCTGAATCCTGTTACCAGCAACTGCAGAGTCTACAGGAGCCAGACAGGGACAGGTCCAGGGAAACGGAGGGCTCAGCCAAAGTGACCTAACCCCGCTCAGGGCCAGAGGGTGCTTGGAGAGGCTAGGTAAGCAGATAGGGGGAGGAGTAAATAACTCCACCACACACATCCTCACCAAACATTTACTGCCAAGGCCTGTGGCAGAAGCAATGAGGCCACCTCAGGGTAAGGCTCTGAAAGCTTGGTCTGGGGCCCAGGCCAGATGGGGCTGAGAAGATGAGCAGAACTGGGTCCCATGTGCCCAACAAGCTGTGCCAGCCCAGCCAAATTTGAGTTATATCAGGAGAAGGGATCTGTTCAGAAAACTCACCCATCTCTAGATTATTTGCATATTCTATTTCAGGGTCTCTTCCTTTTATTTCCCCCCTTAGCTTCTAGAAAAGTTCTCATGATCAATTCCAACTTTACCTCTGCTGAACCACAAAAGCTCACTCAGTCCCCCCTCCCCAACTACCAACTAGAATTCTCAGCCCTCCCTGCTTCCACTGTCCCCACCTATTTAGGCCTCAACCCCTACAGTAGTTCCACTTAGCATCTCCCCAAGGTCACCATGACTCAAGTCAGCAAGTCCAAGGTTGGCCCTTTAGTTACTAGGTTTCTCTGGCATCTCACACCACTGGCAAAGACTTCTCTGTCCAGTTCCTTCTACTCCCTCAGTTTAAATGACTCCTGCCCTCGCCTTTCCAGAAGCAGCAGATCCTGCCCCCTTCTATGTTCCATCAGTCACTATTTCCTATAAAGTGGATGTGCCTTCTCCCTTTGCCTGAAAAGCTGAATTCCCTTCTTATGTAATACAGGCCCAGTCTTTAACCTAAAACTTCCTTATCGTTATCTCCATCCTAGAAACTCCAACTGTCTACATTTCCACATGGAGGTCCATAGCACCTTTAGCTCAATATGTCTAAAACTAGACTTGCATTCCAAATTCCAACTCCAGTACCTTGTTCTTATTACACTACCATCTACACACTCACATCCTGCCTACCTCCTACCTCTCCCCCACCTAGTCTGTCTTTTACATCTCACACCCCTCCCCTCCTCCCAGCTCCCCTGCTACAGCTCTAGTCCAGGCCCCACCATGTTTCCTCTAGAGGCAGCAAGCCTCCTAGCTGGTCTTCCAATCCCAGCCTCACTTCCCAAATACAGTCTTCACGCAGCTGTCAGATTACCTCAAACAGACATCTGGTCCCCCACTGCTCTGCCTAAAGCCCTCAAGACTAAGCCCAAGTTTCTTGGGCTGATCAGACCCTGCACCACCTCCTACTCCTCCACATGCAGAAGCCACAGGCAGCATTGGGAAGGATGCTGGCTTTGGTGTAAGTACAACTTGTCTACTGCCTAACCATGAGATTGTGGACAGATGATCAAACCTAACTTTAGTGTCCCCATCCAATAAGTGGAGCTAGTAATAGTACACTTACCTCTCCCAAGATGTGTTATCATCAATTCCTAGTCTCTCTCCACCCACTACTCTCCTCTCCTTCCAATCTGGTAGGTCAATCTACCATCAGTTCTAAGTGGATCACAAATTCCCCAATGGACTCCCTCACTCAAGATTGACCCACTCCCCATCTATTCACACACAGCAGCCAGTATCCTTTCTTAAGTGCAAACCTGACTCCCTGATTCAAATTCTCTTGTGACTCCTCATTGCCCTTAGTCTAAGTCCAAACTCCTTCCATGGCTTAAAATAATGACCTCTTCCTCACAACCCACCGTGGCACACAGGGCTACAGGAGCTGTGTTCTCCATGCATCCAGCCCACTGAGTGCACACACCTTCCTGCCCAATTCCTCTTCACCCTTCAGGGCTCAGCTTAGATGTCACTTTCTCCAAGAACCTCTCCCTCATACACACAGCCTCTAACCCTAACCCTAACCCTACTTATATGAGTCCCATGCTTGATAAACCAGCCTGGCCCAGTTCTCTCCAGACATTAGCATAAACTGTTCATGACCTGCTTCTGGGAGAGCAAGAGTCCTATCTTTTTCATTTGGCACAGAGTAGAGGCTGAATGTTGCAAGAGTGACAGGGACAATGGTGAGGAAGGAGTCCTTGGACCATGGAAAGCCCAGGCTCAATGGGGGCACTTATTCTGATATTTAAAATGTGGCCACAGAAAGCAATGTCAATTTGCCAAGACCCTGGAGGAAAAAGCTGACAAAGGGAAAGGGAAATCATGGGGATGGCTCAATTCTGGGAAGGAGTATAACTGGTATTTGGGGGTCAGTTCCAGAACAGGACAGGGTTACCCAAATGGTCCACAGCACAATAGGGCAGAGAGTTAAGGAGCCCAGGACCCTTTGAAAGCAGTCCCCGAGGGCAGGGAGTGAGATGCCACAGAAAGGAAACCAGCTCTAGGTCAGCTGTATTATGGGGACAAGAAGGGCTGTGTCAGCCCCATTTAACCAAGGCAGGCCCGTGAGGATGAACTGACCCTTGTTTCTACCACAGACAAGTCAGAGACATCAGGTTCAAAGACAGGACTTTCTGGTCTTTGCCCCATCCACAAGAGGCAGCTGGGCTCAAAGCAGCCCACTAAGACACAAACAGGCCTGGTCCTGGTGGGTTCAGTCTGTGTTCTCGGCCAATTCAAATACCTTTCAACATTAATTCTAGGATTGAGAGGGAAATATGGAGAAACCACATTTTCTGGAGGAAGGGAAGAACACTGTGCTGTTCAGGCCATTTCTGGAATAGTGGGCCCTCCTGGGTATCTCCCATTAGGAGTATCAGTGATAAGCTGGAAGTCATTCAGAGTGAACAGGATGTGCTGGGGACCAAAACTGGAGGTCAAGGAGCAAGTAAATCACACTAATCTCCTCAACTGAAGCTGTGCTAGTGAAGCAGAGGGAGCAGGCTTGCTCTGTGTGCTCCCTCGGGGCAGAAAGGGGATAAGGGGGAACAGACTGGAGAAAAAGGACAGGAGGCAGTCCTTGTAAGTGGCAAACCTTTTGTCCCAGGTAACAAGCAGAAGTCAAATAACTATAATTGTGATGCTATAAATGGAATGAACACTTAAAGGCACAAGGCAGGAGCAGACCTCTGAGCAACTTTCTACAGAAACACAATCTGAAGGGAAGAATTTTTCTCCTGACATGGTCAAAGCACATGAAACCTCCTTGTTCAACTTGAACATGTCTATAGCGCGGCAGGGAATGCTGTGCCAAGGGGAATGTGTGCAGGCAGATGGAGCAGCAGCTTGGGGTTGGTGCCCTGTCTTTATTATGAAAGCTGAAGACCTGCACCTGTCAGTGTCGTTGTTTAGTATTGTTATTTAACTGCTCTTGTCTTTACACCTTCAGGACAGAGAATAGGGCCCTGCCTCCCGGCACAGCTCTGAGGCCTGGATTCTGGCATCATTACAGACTAGGCATCAAAGAATGCCTGGTGAGACTAGGCTGGGGGAGGGACAAGGAATCTTTTGAAGCCTCTGGGAGAGCAAATGCTGTGGAGGATAAGCTGCCCTTACCTGCTCCTCTGAAAGTACGCCTGGCCCCTGCTCAGACTGTGCTCATGTCAGAGGCACAAGCCTCTTCTTGCCACAGCAGTTAACACAGCAGACACTCAGGAGATCGGGCAGCACCCCTGCTCCAGCCTTAGCCACATCCTGAGGATGCCATACCCCAGAGTACCAAAGAGTCTGGGGGTACTATCATTGGAAACTTCTCCCGAAAGAGAAAGTGGGCATAACATGGGACTAAAATTCTCCATCCAGGGCCCAGAATCAGGGGCCAGACACCAGGGCCCTGATATCACAGCACCAAGTCCCACACACCATGCTTGCCCCACTGCCTCCATCAACATGGACCAGCTAGAAAGGCCAAGCACTGGACAAAGTGAACGTCGACCATCAGGTGTATTGGGGAGAGGAAAGATGAGGCACCTCTAGCAGTGCCTCCCATGGCAGCCACCTTGGCAGTTTGTTGAGGGTTCAGGATGAGCAGGGAGTTCATGGGGCTCCTCCTGCAAAGATGAGCTCCAGAGCTGCTTGGATGTCCCCCGCAGTGGCCTGCAGGGCCCGCAGACTCAGCTCATCATCCTGAATGCCCATGTCGCGCAGCTGCTGCAGCTGGGGCTGCCACTGGCTCTGCAGAAAGACAGGACCAGGGAAAAGTTGTTAGTTGGGATCCTACGGAGACTCACTTAGGAGAGAGAGTCGGTGGGTTGAGAGGAGAGAGAAGGGTGGGTTCTTACTGCAAACTCACTGATTTGAAGTTGCACACAACACAGGGTTTCTAATAAGACTACAACAGAGGGTGAGGATTCAGAGAACAAATTTAAAGTTTTTCCAATAAAAAAAAAGGAAAATTTTAACATAAGAATCAAAAGCACAAATTACTCAATGTCTAAAGTTCAAAAGATTGCTTTCGTTCTCCTACTACATGTATAAACAGACATAAATACATGTGTGTGCCCACACACACAAAAGGGGCGAGGAGGACACATTTTAAAATTAGTTTTTTTTAGCTTGCTAAATGGTGAACAGTCAGCTTGGCTGGAGTGGCTCAGTGGATTGAACATGGTCCCATGGACTGAGAGGTCCTGATTCGATCCCTGGTCAGGGCACATGCCCGGGTTGCTGGCTCGATCCCCAGTGCGGGATGTACAGGAGGCAGCCGATAGATGTCTCTCTCTCACACCGATGTTTCTATTTCTCTCTCCCCTCCTCTCTCTCTCTCAAAAAATCAATAAAAACATATAAAAATTAGTGAAAAGTCTTACTTTCATCCACTCCCATCCTCAACCCTGATAACCAATTTTATTTTGAGAAAACAAACATATATTCCTATATTTACACTTTTTTCTTATATTCCTCTTATATATCTACCTCCCTCTTCTCTTTTCAACATTCTCAATGTATCCTGGACATCTCTCTATGCCAGTACATAAAAACTTTTTTCCTTTTTTATTTTTTGAGAGAAAGGAAGGAGGGAGGTAAGGGGAAAAGGAGAGGGAGGGAGAGGGAGAGGGAGAGGGAGAGAGGGAGAGAAACATCAGTTGCCTCCATGCCCCGAATGGGAACGAACCTACAACCCAGGTACATGCCCTTGATTGGGAATCGAACCCATGACCCTTTAGTCTGTGGGCCAACACTCTAACAACTGAGCCACACCAGCCAGGGCAAGAACTTTTTAACAACCATATAATACTTCAACCCATGGATATCCTGAAATGTACCATAACGACTATTTTCTTGGATTTTCACTTTCAGTTATGGAAGGCCTTCTCAAATATAAGGGTTTAAAGAAATTAACCTACATTTTCTTTCAGTACTTCCAAAGCTTTATTAGTCTATTAGTCTATCTCCTGAAAAAGGTAAGTGTACACCTTAGGGAAACAACACTGCAGTGACTGACTCTACACAAATATCATTTTCTTCATGCATGTATATCTCCAGGATAAATTCTGAGAAATGAGACTGTGAGGAATTACATGATTTAGGGGCCATCTGCACTGCACTTCCACGAACAATCTGTTCATGGCCTCTCCCCTTTTTTTCTCTGTAGTTGGTCCTAATTTACCAGAACCTCTATGTATCAGGGAGAATTTTCTTGCTGATATGTGTTACAGATTTTCCCCCAATTTGTTGTTAGCATTCAGACTTTGCCTGTTTATTTTTTGTTGTTGTTTATTGTTTGGTTAGGATCGTTAGGCATAAATTTTCACTTTTACAAACTAAAAATGTATTACTCTTTATATAATGGCTCTTGGATTTTCAGTTATGAAAGGCCTTCTCAAATATAAGGGTTTAAAGAAATCAACCTACATTTTCTTTCAGTACTTCCAAAGCTTCATTAGTCTATCTCATGAAAGAGGTAAGTGTACAACTTAGGGAAAATGATGTGTTCACACTGTGGGAGACAGAAGGCAGTGGGGAAGAAATGTAAATTAATGCAGGCAGGAAGAGGGAAGATGTGGAGGGCTTTTAAGAAACCCACACAAACCAACTCTGGCTCAGTTTATAGGTCTGAGGGAACCACTCCAAGATACTGAGCTGGAGAGCAAGGTGAACAGGTTTCTAGCTGGGGAAGCTGAAGAAATGGAAAAGACAAGCTGTCCACAGCTCCTGCTTCCGTTCCCCTCACTGTCCACCTGGGCCAGATGAGGTAGGCACAACCACATGGTTTGAACCTGGTCTCTACCACTTCCTGGCTTACTGACTCTGACAAGTTCCAGAAATGATGCTCACCCCCACACTAACTGTGAGCAGCAAAGAAAACAAACTGAAGCAGACAGCTGTGCATGAACACATGCAATCAAACCCGATCCCTTGGGTATTCCACTTAGTTGCTAAGGTGACCATGCCATGAAGCAGAGCAGATGGTGTCACTCCCTGCTTAAAATCTCCCATGGCTCCCTAGTGATTACTGGATCAAGCCTAAATCACCTTACCCAGGCACCACTATAGTCCTCACATTCAGGCAGGCGCCTGCTCTCCTTTTCTCTGGCTCCATATCTCAGGATCTTCTCCACAAGGATACGGCCTCGGGCCTTGTAGTTCCAAGTATGTCACAAGTCCCTCCACACATACCTGGACACCATCCCTCCACCCCAAACACCCCCTTCCCTGCCTGGCTAACTTCTAACTAATTTTCTGACAATCAGCTTAAATACCCCTTCCTCAGAAAAGTTTTGCCTGACCTAGGCATCACCTCAAGCTTGGGGTGAGCTTCTCACTCTATTGCTCTGTTACTGCCTAAGTTCAGTAACTGTCTGACGCCCCTCTGTGGCAAGAATGGACGGCTCATCTCTACCGCAGGAACAGGACCCAGGCCCAGGCTCAGTATTTACATGCTCAGTGCTCAGGCAATGCTCACGGAATGAATGAATTGACCAAAACTGCTATAAGTATCCAAGCCAGGCTGTCAGGGGAGTCAGGCCATGGTCACTGGGTGTAGGAGTGGAAGTCACAGGGGAAAATGCCCCTGCTGGGAGCATCCTCCTATTACACTGCCATGCCCGGGCTGTTCCTGGAGTGAAGCATGCCAAGTGGGAAGGCCCTCCAGAGAGCAGAAAAAAGCTTGGTATCCAAAGTAACCAGGAAAGCCACATGGACATCAGGAATGGGGAAGACTGACCTGAAGGTTGGGCTGCCCAGAGGCCTGCAAGGCATGCTGTAGGGCTTGACTGAAGAGATCATTGGTGATGGGCGTCCCTGACTGGACACCAGAGGACAATGGTGAGGTCCCTGAGGAATGGCCCTAGAGACAAACCAGTGGTCACGGCCACCCTCAGAGCCATCTCAATCTCCCAGCCATACTCACTGCTGTCACATCACCCCACAGTACTCCTGGGGTGCCCAACTATTGCCTCCCAGCAGGGGCCTACATGAGACAACCACACAGAGGTACCTAAAGGCTCATTAGGTGGGCAGGAAGGCCTCCATTCTTTTCCACTCCGGGGAAATGGAATCAAGCCCAGGACCCTAGCACTAGAAGCTAGAGTAACTATCACTAGGAATACGTAAGTCATTGAGAGCTCAACCCTGTCAGGGATGGGGAAGCACATTTTATGTAAGGGAAGGTTCTCCAGAACTACTAGGAGGAGGAATCACCCTGGACTTTTGAGCCCTATAGGCAAGTGAGAAAAATCTCACAGTGATAATTCTGAGAGGGTCTAGCAGATCTAGCACCAGGGTCAGCAAGGGCAAATCCATTCTATCACTGGGGAGCTCCTCTCCTGGGGGCCCAGACCCCACCTTCCCGCCCTCTCTCCATACCTGGGTACCAGGAGTAGGTGTGTGAGAGCTGCTTTCTGGAGTGCTGGCCAAAGCCAGGGCAGTGGCCAGCTCGCTCTGGGTGATGGGCCGGGGTCCAGCAGCTCCACTGTACCCCAGGGAGGCTGGGCGGGAGCTGGGTGTGCTGCTAGAGGGTGTAGACCTGGCCCTCTGGAGAAGGAAGGCACCCAGAATCAGGGAGGTGGCCCTGTGACAATTCCAGATACCCTCCCACCCCCCACTCCAAGTACAATTCTTAGGGAGACTCCCAAGCTGCCAGGTTCAGAAAGCAATGGCATGACACAGACTTGGCCATTTTAGGGCCTATGACCACCTCCCAGCTTGGGCTCCATGTCCCAGGGAGGAGTGCATCCCCGGCACCACTTTCCCCAAAAGGCAGGCAGCCAGGCCACTTACTGGGTGAAAGTCGTCCTCATCATCAGAGAGCCCTTCAAACAGGAAGCCACCTGGAGAAGGGAGAACAGATTTCAGGAGGAAGAACAGAAAGGCACAGGCACAGCTCCAGAATCACAGCTCAGATACTCTCCAAATTCATATTTTCATCTCTCCCCTTGGAAAATTACAGGACAGATGCACTCCCTGACTCAAACTGAGAGTTCCCAAGGAACACCCTCTGCCAGCGCTATACATAGCTGCTGAGTAAAGCATTTTCCTGGGCCACTGCTGGCTCCTGAGGGGACCTGCACGACACCCTCCAGGGACTCACCTGGCATGTCCCGGTAAGAGCTGGAGGGTGTGCTCCGGGAAGAGGAGTCAGCCCCCGGTAGCGGAGTGCTGCCTGCCACCGAGTGCAAAACCAGGACAATGGCATTGACTAGGGCTGGGTGAGCAGGTATCAACCTGGAACGGGTGCAGGAAGAATCCTTAAGGTGAGTAAGAAAAGGGCACTTTCGCCATGACAAAAGTCTAAGTGGCCCTCACAACTATCAAGCCACCTGTGCCTACCCTTAAATTCCTCAGTCCTCTCAGTTGGCTTTTTGTTCTCTTCTGATCTGCCCCTAGCAACAGTGGCAGAGCCTTCAGTCCTGGGATCCACTGTAGATGCTTTACCTTCCCTTCAGCATGATAGGATAGGACAGCCTGGGAAGCTCAGGGGTCAGTCTCCAGTCTCAACTCTTATCACTACTTCCCTGAGCCATCTTTGACAAGTCCCTTCTCCTCCCTCGGGGGGCGGGGGAAGAGCTGTTTTCTTCACTTGCAAAATAAGAGACATAACCTCTGCTGTCCCTTCCAACTCTAAAACAGTAAGGATCTATGCACCTGCTTCCTTTCCCAACTTCACATCCCTCCAAGGATCCTTCATAGCTATTTAATGAGAGCTAAACTAAGCCCAGCCCACAAGGCCACCTCCCTCAGACCCTGTTTCACCTCCACAGCAATATGTGTTCCTGCCCTTGGGCTTGTGCCCATAGCATTCCTTCTCTTTCTCACCTCTTGACACATTTAGAAGGCAGACATGGGGGTATTCAGGGACTGGGCTCCAAGAGTAGAATACAGGGCAACAATTAGGCTCTGGTCCAACCACATGAGAAGAAACAGGGTACTCTTTAGTAAGATGGGTATACTTACGTATCAAGCATGTTGGGATCAGCAAAAACAGAGAAAAGGTCCTTGTCCTGGAGAACCCCTAAGGAGAACAGGACTCACCTCAAAAACTGAAACCTAGCGAGATCCTGGAGGGAAAAGTGTTAGGCCTCAGAGCAACTGGTTCAACAGGGACACAGGACCAGTACCCCATGTAAGAAGTGGAAGAAACAAAGCACCAAGCAGCACAATTGAGTTCTTTCCATCTTGTTCCCCATTCGCCACCCTTCCTGCACTTAAGTCATATTCTGTGAGCCAACAGGCCAGCTTCTTTTCCCCATATCTTGGGTTCTTCCCTTATCCATCAACATAGAGGAAATCTTTTCTGATTACTGTGGTTTGGACTAACTGCTGCCCTCATCTGAGATCCTTATAGTCTCATTTATGATGTTAGTTAGGCCTTTATTTCTCTGAGGGATGGACAGATCTTGGAGGGCTGGGTATATGGAGCACATCTAGGTTCTCCCCTCCCCCAACAAGAACAGTGAGTGATTCTTCAAAAGATGGTCGAGTCTCTTTCACTCTCTCTCTCTTTTTAAAGCCAAAGTATATTTACTTTTTAAAAAATCCTTTTTATTAATTTTGTTGAAAGAGAAAGAGACACATCGATCTGAAAGAGAAAAATCAATTGGTGGCCTCCCACATGCACCACAACCAGGGATCAAACCCACAACCCAAGCCATGTGCCCTGACCAGGAACCGAACCAGTCTCGGTACACAGGACGATGCCCAACCCATTGATCCACATCAGCTAGGCCATGGTCAGAGTTTCTTTAGGGTGATCTGCCTTCTTCTGGTTTCTGCTTCTCCAACAACTCCTATTTCAAGTTCAGTTCTGTACTTACCAAGAGCAATGGGGTCACTGCTGAGGCCTGGGGTGGCCACAATGATCTGATCCAGAGATTCCTTATTGCTGAGCATCTTAAAGACCTGTAAGAGAAATGGAGAGGGCTGACTACTCCAGCCAGTTCAATCTATTCAGTAAAGTCCCACACTCTGCTGAAGTACTTCCTCCCTCTAAGTACTACACACACACCACCATAAAACAATAGTCCCCAGAAATAGATGAGCCTCTTTCTTCTCTGAGACTGTGCATTACTGGAGGGGAAATCATTTTTTTAAAAAAGGTAGTATCATAGCAAACCTTCCACCTCTAGTCCTCCCCCCATCTATATTTCTAAAGCTTCCAAAATAAAATATCTCATTACAAGCCAGTAACAAAGGTCTCTCTAGGTCCCAAGTTTTTTATAATCTCTGTAGATTTATCATTTCATATTCATATATATTGAGACGTTTGAGGCTTTTTACTTTTGCTTATCAACTCTCTTATGGAAAGACATCCATATATTTCCCAGTGAGGAAATTCAGGTAAGGAGCAGTGGGCAGGCAGTTCAGCCAAATTCCAAGAATGAGGCCCAGCAGAAACTATATGCAGATCCTTTGGCTGTAATCATATTCATTCTGTGAGGCCAATATCAGAAGTTGTATCATTATCACTAGATGGAAATGAACAATACCTAGCTGAGACAGCCTCTTTGGGGGAAGATAGGGAGGACTCTACTGAGATCCACAGACATGGCAAAAACTCCTCAAGGAATTCTCGTAGCCATGGCAACGGCCTCCCAGCTCCCACTCTACAACACTCTCCAGCTTTCACACTCTCTTGCAGGCCTGGCAAGAGTCTCAGGCAGGGGGCAGCTGCACAAACTCACCGCCTCCCTGTAGGAGGAGCTGCTATGCAAGGCAGTGTGCAGCACCCGGAACTCCCGCAGAGCAGCCACTTTGTCCACAGATTCTGTGGATAAGACACACAGTTACCCTACAGCCCAGGCCCTGCAGACACAGAACATCATTTCAGCATGTGTCCAGGTATAGCTTGGTCTGTATGTTCCCTCCCTCATCAAGCCACTAAGAATGTAAATGCCCCTTCAGGAAAATCCATGTATGACACAGATGTAAAAATTGATTATCTACTGAATATGCTTAAAAGTGCAAAGTTAATTCCAGCAGAAGAGAAACTTACCACATGAAAAAGACTGCTCTGATCAACACCCCACTACAGGAATTCTAGACTTCTTACACTTCAAAAGGAGGAAGGTATAACCAATGCAGTAGATTTTTATACAATGCTTTAAAGTACTAAGTGCTGCAAGCCACCTGAAAACTATAGCACTACGTTGACACAGTATGTTAAGAGAGACAGAACAATCTGGTCAGTGTGGCTCAGTGGCTTGAGCATTGTCCCATAGACTGAGAGGTCCTGGTTCGATTCCCAGTCAGGGCACATGCCCGGGGTTACAGGCTCGATTCCCAGTTTCTCTCTCACATCGATGTTTCTATCTCTCTCTCCCTTCCTCTCTTTCTAAAAAAGAAAAAGAGAGATAGAATATAAAGTTGTATGTGCATTCTCTAGTAAAACCACATAAAATATGTCAGTGTGTACACGGTCCAAGGATAGAGAGGACAAGGGGAAGAACAGCACTTAATGGGACCTGCGGTAACTGTTTTTTCGTTGCTATTTTCTTTCAGGCTTTCTTCTTATTATTATTATTATTCTATTTTTTATTTTTATCCTCACCGGAGGACATTTTTCGATATTTTGTTCAGACAGAGTGGGAGGGAGAGAGAGAGAGAGAGAGAAACATCGACGTGAAAGGGACACATCGAGTGGTCGCCACCCACACGACCCAATCAGGGCCAGGGACAAACTGCAACCGAGGTATGTGCCCTTAGCGGAAACTGAACCCGGGTCTCTCCAGACTGCAGGTCGATGCTCTAACCGCTGAGCCAAACTGGCCAGGGCTATATTATTTTGAATTAAAAAAAAAAAAAATACAAGAGGGATCAAGAAAACATACTGTACTTCTAGGATTCTTAACAAATTTTCATCACATGCTTGATATCACATATTTCACTGGGACTCAAAGTTCCTTTATTTTTTGACACTATAATTCATACATGGGAAAGTTTAGCAGTTGTCGTAGTTGCTTTACTACCTAGGTCATCAGCCCATTTCACAGGTGAAGAAATGTGGGTAAAAGAAGGAGGAGTAGGTAAGTTCAGCCTGGGTCATATTTTTTAAAACATGGTTACCCTCACCTAGGATGGCTACTAGTGATTGTGTAGACTGTGCACTGCCCAACTCCAGGGGCACCATTCCCAAAGCAAGGTGAATGGCACCTCTGTGGTTCCATGTGGAATCACATCTTTATCCAAAGTTCCAATTGTGAGAATTATCTCTTCTGAAAAATATTCATTACAAAATATCCTGCTGAGTTCTTCAGCAGAGACGCAGACCCTAGCAGTAGGAACAGGAGGCAGTCAGCCATTACTGAGAGGGACGGCTAGTGTACCAGTTGTCTCCCAGGAGAAACCATTTGAGAGGCTAGTTAAGGTACAGCTGATGTTTACTAGGGAGAGAAAGTAGTCCAAGCTTAAGCAAGAACACGTGTGAAGGCATGGAAGAATAAAATGAGGTGCCCCGAAAGAACAAGTAGTCTTTTTTTTTGTCACTGGTATACAAATCCCTGGCTCAAATAGGAGGCTAACAGAGATCCTGAAGGGACCTGTAAGCCTCCATGCAGAACCATCAAAGAGATCCAGGTGGGAAGGGAAGGTCTGACAAGATTCTCCTCCTATACGTGCTAATCTAGTGGGAGATAAAGAAATGTGCTTCCTTTTGGAAAAGTACTCAAGGATAAAATATCTAAAGTGCTGTTATAAAACAGTTTCTTTTCAGATCTAAAAGTTTATTTTTACCTCCCAATGAAAAGTCCATTTGTTTCAAAAATAAATCTCCATGCAGAAGGAGGGAAGAAAAGGCCTTTTAAAATCTTAAACTTATTATCAGTTAAGAGTCATGGTTGTCTCTATGACATCTCTGAGCTAATCTCTCTTTTTGGAAGTGGGAAAGAACATGGCCTCTTGAACCAGGAAAACCTGCATGCACATCCCAGCTCTTGCATTCATTTTCTAAGTAGGTGACCTTGAATAAATACCTTTCTAACCCTCTTTTTCCTCATCTATAAATTTTGTAATCTATCCAGCAGGACCACTGTAATGATAAAATGCATATCAAGGAGAAACAATCTGGCTGGAAAAAGCAACAAATATTACTTTCCTTCTGTCAGGACCCTCCAGCCAAAGACCAGAGGGGCTCACATGCAGTTTCACAAGTTGAATCCACTGCTCCTCACAGAGGAGAATGCATACCCCAGACTCTGTGGGGCTTTCAATAACAGGATTGTTAGAAAGAACTTATTCCAGGAATTGGGCTTTGGCTGGGTGATTTGGGGGGAAGTTTAAGGAATTGAGGTTTAGCTTTAGATTGGATACTGTCAGGAAGTGGGGGATGATTTTATGATTGGATATCTTAGTTATTCTTACCTAGAAGGAAAACCAGAGCAAGGCAAAAAGTATAATTGGAAAGAAGTAGTAGTCACTCTATTATAATAGCCAAGATAAAGGGGTATTTTTTATTTTACGGTTGGGATGATGTTCAGGTAAATGAGAGGGCTCTTATTTTTCTCCTGACCCACTACAGTCTCTGAGAGGCCTTGTAAGATGTTGGCAATCTGTGAAATGGTTCATGGTCCAAGACCAAGCTGGGGGCCAGGTCAACCTCTGGATATGGAAGACTGCCTTTCTCTTTCTCACTTCCCATTAGTGTACAAAATATCCTTCTCCTTTATGTTTAGAATTGAAAAGAAGGTAAATTTCAAGCTGATAACAAGTCATAGCAATCACGAACGTTATAAGAATGTCAAACTGCCAGTTTAACAAAGGTAATCTCTTTTATAGAGCCTAGCTTTATCCTTGGGGAGGCTTTTAAAACACAGATGCAAAATTTAAACTATAAATTCCAAGCAGCACCTTTTATTAATAAATCCAAAAGACATTACAGGCTTTGTATGTTTTCTCCAAGAGCTACTTTAATACTGTCTGAACATTTTCAAGTTTTAGAAAAATAAATTACCAGTCTAGCAGGAGGAGTGAGCGAATGAACAAGTCCCTGCTTGAGGCAGTTTGCTGAAAGATTTGCTAACAAGAGAACAAACCATAGCACTGGAGCAGCAATTTTCATCTCATGGCACACATAATCTAATTACTAAAATTCTGAAGCACACCAAAAAGTATATTATATTTTTTGCTGCTCCGACAAAAAAATAAAAATAGGCAGGGGTGTGCGAAAGTAGGTTTACAATTGAGTTTATTCTTGTATTATTTAGTCTTGTATTACATATTTTTCCACATGAACAACTGCAAACCTACTTTGCCCACCCCTGTGTAATTCTGATTCACTCCCACCAGATGGCTACTGTTGTGTTGGCTGTTGTCATTTTTTATTTTGACAATCTAAGGGATAAGAGATTAGCGCCCCTGACTATATAGTCAGGTACTGCATGTTTTAAAATTTTTTGTGGCACACTGGATGAAAAATCACTGCATTAGAGAAATGCAAGGAGTCCCCAGCTTTTTTCTTTATTGATTTGAGAGAGGGAGATGGAGAGAGAAACACTGATTTGTTGTTCCATTTATTTATGCATTCCTTGGTTGATTTCTTCTGTGTATCCTGACTGGGATCAAACCCACAACCTTGGCGTATGAGGACAATGCTCTAATTAAATGAGCTACCTGGCCAGAGCCCCAGCTTTTTTCTAATGAGAACAATAACAAAAAGATACAAAGTTCATTGAGAAATAAACTGTTAACCTAAAGGAGTTTACATAGACATACAATTCCCACTCCATTAAAATAGTGGATTACAAATTTAAAAAGTAGAGAAACAAATCCCCATTTGTTAGTGGTGTTAGTTGTAAGATAAAAAATGCATTTTGTTTTATCAGTGCAGTCAACCCAATAGGTAATAAAGATATCCTCTATTGCCCGGCTGGTGTGGTTCAGTGGTTGAGCATTGACTCATGCACCAAGAGGTCACTGGTTCAATTCCCAGTAAGGGCACCGTGCCCAGGTTGCAGGATCAATCCCCAGAGGGGGGTGTGCAGGAGGCAGCAGATCAATGTTTCTCTCTCAAAGATGTTTCTATTTTTCTCTCCCTCTCCTTCCTCTCTCTCTAAAAATCAATAAAAAATATTTTTAAAAAAAGATATCCTCTATTACCATTTCAGTAAATCACCTCTTTGTTCCATCTACCCAAGCCTGAGCCTCAAAAACCCACAGACCCTTCCCTGGATACTACTGAAGCTCTGCCTGTCTAAGGGCCAACTGTCACTCACCTGGTTTCTGATCAGGCTCCGGCCAGGACTTGCGCAGAACATGGACCGTGGATCCAGGTTGAATGCCGTAGAAGTCAAGGGTTTGGTCATCTTTGAGCTTCCGTCCACAGTAAATCAAATCTAAAAAAAATAAAAAAATAAAAAAAAGGACTATCTATTTATACTTTGCTCCTCAAGACAATTTAGATGGTTTCTGTCCTCTAGGAACCTTATTTTGATTAGACAAATACCTGGAGAATGATATACGCTTACAGGGCAGTCTTACTTAATAAATACATTTTAATAACAATTGTTAGCAAGTACAAACTCATAAAATACAGGATCTAAGTATCATTGTGGAGACCGCTCAATTTGAATGAGTGGGGAAAATGCAACAATAAAAAAGGATGACCCAGCCCTGGCCGGTTTGGCACAGCGGTTAGAGCGTTGGCCTGCAGTCTGGAGAGACCCAGGTTCGGTTCCCGCTAGGGATGTGTACCTCGGTTGCAGTTTGTCCCCGGCCCTGGTTGGGTCATGTGGGTGGCAACCACTCGATGTGTCCCTTTCACATAGATGTTTCTCTCTCTCTCTCTCCCCCTCCCACTCTATCTGAACAAAATATTGAAAAATGTCCTCGGGTGAGGATAAAAAATAAATAAATAAATAAAAAGGATGACCCAGTGTTTTTATGACTGAAAATACACTTTTTGCCAGTTGGATCCCTTGGCTATTATAAATTACCTTTATAATATAATTTCTTATATTTAATTTCTTTTTCCTCCACCTAGAATACCCTTACCATCTTTCTTCCTTTTTTCACTGCCTTCCCTCTAACAAACAAAAATCCTTTTAGCCCTGGCTGGTGTGGCTTGGTTGGTTGGGCATCACCCTGTGCACTGAAAGGTGGCTGGTTCAATTCCCAGTCAGGACACATGCCCAGGTTTGGGACTCAATCCTCAGTAGGGGGCCTGTAGGAGGCAACTGAACGTTGCGCTCTCACATTAATGTTTCTCTCTTCTACCTCTCTCTCTAAAAATCACCAAACTATTCTTTAAAAAAAAAATTTATTTGAAAAAAAAAATCATTTTTGCTCTGGCCAGTTTTGCTCAGTGGTTAGTGTTGTTGGCCTGCATGCCGAAGGGTCTCAGGTTCGATTCCTGGTCAAGGGCACATACCTGGCTTGCAGGTTTAAGCCCTGGCCCCATTCGGGGCCATGCGGGGCCATGCGGAGGCAACCAATTGATGTGTTCCTCTCACACAGATGTTTCTCTTTCTCCCTCTCTCCCTTCCACTCTATCTAAAAATCAGTGGAAAATATCCTCAGTGAGGATTAACAACAAAAATCCTTTTAATCATTCCTTAGAACCAATCTCAAAATGCCATGTACAGGAGGGCTTTCCCTGACCAGCTTCTCCTTTCCCATCCCACCCCAAATTCTTGCTCTTTCAGAGAAAGAATTCAATAACACAGTTAAGGAACTTTGTGATAAAGTAGTTCAGTATAACACACAACTGAAATAGCAACCAATAGTTTTATTATTTATGTTTCTTTTCACCCAAAACTCACTTCCCTGGAGTGTTAACAACATGCAGCAACAACCCCCAAATTCTTAATTTACCCCTGTAATTCCAGAAGTATCCTCCCCCAAGAGATCAGAGCAGCAGCTTATCTCTAGTTCACAGAGACTCACCAATCAGCTCTGGGTCTGGAACTGACTCCTGGAGTTTGCCAGCAATGAGTTGCTTCAGAAATGAAATATTATAGCCCCCTAGTGAGTATTCTCCCAGCTCTGTCTCTGGCAACCGAAGAATAGACTTTGGAGCAAGTGGCTGATCAGCCAGTTTCACTGCCAGGTGCCAATCTGAGAGAGACATCCTCTCTCTTTCACGCTCTCTCTTTCTCCCTATAAAGGAAATGAGCCCTTAGTGGTTAAAGGACAGACCACCACCCTATTCCACTCACACCCCAACAAAAGGTTGAATGAGACAATTCAGTGTGACAATGCTGAAAAAGCAGAGGATGCCGTATCAAGCTAGAACTAGAATCTGGGGTCCTCTCTTTACTCATTCTATGATGGATAGCAAGGAACTACAGCTCTCTAGGCCTAAGTTTCTTCATCTTTAAAGTACCCATAAAAATACCAGCCCACCCTGGCCAGTTTGGCTCAGCGGTTAGAGCATCAGCCCATGGACCAGAGAGTACCAGGTTTGGTTCCCACTAAGGGCACGTACCTCAGTTGCAGTTTGTCCCCAGCCCCGTTTGGGGCCGTGTGGGTGGCAACCAGTCGATGTGTCTCTCTCACATCAATGTTTCTCTCTTTCTCTTCCCCCTCTCTCCCTCCACTCTGTCTGAAGATAAATGCAATAATGTCCTCGGGTGAGGATAAAAAAAATAACCAGCCCACCTAATAGGAATGTTGTGAGGTTCAAATGAGACCATCTAATCCTCTCCCTTGTGTACACTCCCCATTTCTGATTTTCTTCATACCTCTTGTTTGAAATATCAAAAAGAGCTTTATAACAAGTTTCCTGACTCCTGCCTCTCCCTATCAAACATCTATACTGCCACTCAACTCATTTAAAAACATAGACCATGCCTGGCCAGTGTGGTTCAGTGGTTGAGCATGAACCAAGAGGTCACCAGTTTGATTCCCAGTCAGGGCATGTGCCACGGTTGTAGGCTCCATCCTCAGTAGGGGGCATGCAGGAGGCAGCCGATTGATGTTTCTCGCTCATCCATGTTTATAACTCTCCCTCTCCCTTCCTCTCTCTCTAAAAATCAATAAAAACATATTAAAGAAAACAAAAAACAGAGCTGATCAGGTCACTCTGTTTAGAACTCCTCCAATGACTCTAAACCACCTCTATGAATAAGCCTAAACTCCACAGCCTGTCTTACAAAAATATTCGTATCTGTTCCCTCTACCAGCCTTCTTCCCAATAGAACCCTGTCCCACCCCTAAGCCTCCATTCAAAACAAAACTCTCCCACATTACACCTCTGCTCATCTGCTAACTCTGCTTGTAATTCCTCTTCTCTTTGGCCCCTCAGCAAAATTTAGCAATCTCCTATCAAGTCCAACTCAAATACCATCTTTTCTGTCCCCTCTCCCTTTCTTCTGTTGTCTCCATATTCCTTTGGGGCAAATAATTACAAATATCGTCCTGGCCGGGTTGGAGCATTGGCCTGCGGACCAGAGAGTCCAGGGTTCAGTTCCCGCTAGGGGAAAAAAAAAAAAAAAAATTACAAATATCGATTTACTTCTCAATCTTATCCCTCCACCCCCTCAACCCTGAGTCTTAGAGGCCCTTGAAAGCCAAGACTATAATTTTTTTTTTTTTTTTTTTTTGCCATTACTGACCCGGTGCCTGGCACATGAAGGTACCCAAAAAGTGAATCAGAAATTCTGAGGGTGGAATAATCTTGTAGGTAAATGAAAGACCCTTGTTATATCCACTATTGCTTCCAAAGAGGCCTCTAGTAGGGAGGAGGATAGAAAAGGTTGTGAGGTACACTGGCCAGTTTGGCTCAGCGGTTGAGCGTCGGCCTGCGGACCAGAGAGTCCCGGGTTCGGTTCCTCTAGGGGCACGTACCACCAAAAAAAAAAAGAAAGAAAAGGTTGTGAGGTTGGCAGGCTGCTCAACAGGCCCCAGGCCATCCTCAAGGTACCTCCCATCTCCAGATACATGACAGGGGAGGGAATAGGTTTTTTCTTACTTACTATATCTCATTTAATCCTCACAATCGTTCCCTGAGACAGGCAGGCATCATCCACATATTACTGACCAGGCAACCGAGACCAGAAAGTCACTGGCACAAGGTCACAGCTAGTAGTGAGGAGGACACTACCTCTTTGACGACGACCCCACTGCTCCCATGGGACCAGCTAACTTGTCTACACAAGTCGAGCCCACGTGGCCCGGGGCCCAGGCCCTCACCCGTCCCGCGGAAAGAACCCGGCCGCAGAGCCGCCGGCGTAAACACTCACTCCGATCCTCTCGCCGGAAGCCGGAAGCTCCGCGCTGCATTCTGGGAGTAGCAGTTCCTGTTGCTGCCCCGCCCCTTATAAACAGTAGGCCAGCAAGTGGCGCTGGTTGCAAACTTCCGGTTCCTAGGGGGCGTGGCTCCTGGGTCATTTGAAATCCCCCGCGCGAAGGCTTTCTGGTGCTTTCGCCGCAGATTCCTATTTCTTGTCAGTGTTTTGGGGCGCTAGTTGCGAGAGAACTACCTGGTGTGGTGTGTGCAGCCCTGTGACTCCTGCGCGGTCCTGGGAGGCATGCAGAGTCGGTCTGTCGGGCCTGTTGTTACAGCGCCGCATATGGAAACACGGGCAGCCGGACCCTAGCCCAGAGGGCGGACCCCAATCTCCTCACGCTCCGACCGTCGGTCCGTGAGGACCCTTTCCCTAGCGGCTTCTTCAGACACCTCCCAATGGTTCTTTGCAGTCCTCGCTATGACATCGGGTGCCCTCGGTGAAGTCAGCTTCTGTGTGTTCCTTGCCACAACTTCGTGCGGTGAACCTACCTATGGGGGCAGACCCGGAAAGTGGGTTCATTGAGGGGAGTTACTAAATAGGGTTTCTGCTACGCCCACCCTGCAGTGGTGGAGTTTATATGGCAATCATTCATAGAATCAGTTTGAGGAGGGGGATTTCCACAGAACCCTAACAGAGAAACTGCGTATTTTAGCTTCCCAGTTAGAATTGTATTATATTTGCACAGAGGTTACTATTAGCTAAAATATTAAAGAGGAGGGCGACGTCTAACTGAACTCTAATCAAGTAAAGAAAAAAAAAGTGAATATAAGAAAATCATGAAGTAGATCATAGCAACTAATGGCTGATCCTGTGTGCCCAAATGTAAAATTATAATTCTGGAATATCCCAATGTACAGCCTGGACTAGAACCCGCACTGAGCAGGCTAGCTTGGCTGAGGAGAGCAGACGAACTGCAGGGTCTGGAAGGGCCTAACAGTGGAGGCAATCACCCCTCTACTGTTCTGTTTTATTGTGTGGAGAGTTTTGCAACGTCTGTCTCTGTCTTCAGGGTCAAGTCCAGGTTCCTCATGGCTGTCCTCAAGTACCCTCTTCCTCATCCTACTCACCTTTAGTTATATTCTCCCTTTCAGAAATCCTTTCTAACTATCCAGCCCTCTTTAGGCTCCCTCTTCTATCTACTAAGGTACTTGCACCTGAACCACATAATTTAGTGTTAAATTCTGTTCGATATTGTGCCTTAACTACATGCAGAAGAAAGCAGGAACCCTGTCTTCATTTTGTTTTCCTCGAAGTGGATCTTACTATGTCCTGGTGAATGTCTTATTTTGATTGATTTCATTATAATCTCCATGGGGGAATGGACAATGACTACCTTGTACTTGGCTTATCTTCAGCAGTTTTCCTTGGTAAGCAGTAAATATGTGTAATTCAGGCTGAAGCTATCTATCATATGTGGCTGTCTTACTATTGCTTTTTGCTCCCAGGGGCAGAGGTGAACCTAAAGTCTGAATCATTAAAATGTTCAGAAACATTGTAATAATAAATTACTAAATGAGCAAATGAATGGAGAAATAATCAGATACCAGATAGGTACTTTGAGAACCAATTTACCAAATAGGAGTTGTGCTCAGAATCAAAGGTTCTAGAGAAAATTAGAAACCTGGACACCAGACCAGGTGGTGTCCAGAGAAGTGGTAGGAAAAAAAGTGTCCAGGCCCTGTTCTTCAGCCAGTCCACATTTGGATTGATACTCTCATTAACCATCTATGAGACAGTGATGGACACTTATTCATTAAACCCTCAGGCCAATCAGTAACTGTTGGAAAACAAATTATAAGAATGCACATTTGCATTTTTTAAAATAACTTCTGTTACAAAAGTAATAAGTGAAGCCTGACTGGTGTGGCTCAGTTGGTTGAGCATCATCCCATGCGCCAGTTTGATTCCCAGTCATGGTACATGCTTGGATTGTGGACTACATCCCCAGTGGGGGACATGTGGGAGGCAGCCAATAGATGTTTCGATCTCTCCCTCTCCGTTTCTTTCTCTCAAATCAATGAAAAAATATTTTAAAAAATAATATGTGGATATCTGTGTCTAACATAACAAATGAAAATAATTTGAAATACTCCTACAAACATGTATAAAATAATACATTTATTAAAAATTGTGTAGCTGTGGTCATAGGAGAAATGGGAAATGAAGGGGTAACTGGAAACAAGGTAATAAGCTTGAAAGCTGATGGCACCTCTCCAGAGAGATAAGTAGTCCTGAAAACCTTGATCTACTTTTGTTTTAACACCAAACCATTAGGCTCCTCAGAAACTGAGACTGATATCACACTGCATGAAGTTGAAACAATTAAAAGATTTCCACCCTACCTGAAAGGGAAGACCAAAAAGTCATGGATCAGCACTAAGAGAAGACAAGTAAAAGTTCTCTCTACTTGGCTGTGAGGGCAACATAGTGAAAGGGGAGTTGATTTGGGGGACAAATAGTCTTCCCTGAGAATCTGAAACCCCAGGTTTGTGCAAGTTTGTGGTCACACGAAACATCCAAAATTGGACTTGGGATCTGCATTTTAATATTCGGTAACAGAAATTTGTAATGTCCAATGAATAGAGGCAGAAACTGAGACATTCTATTAAGTGATTAAAGATTCAGTGGCAAAAGAAAATGTATTCTTGTGAGGATTTTGTGTTAGTGAACTTGATTAGGCTAAGGTTTGCTATTTAATAAGGGAGAAGCTTTGCAGTGGCAGTATCTTAGCCAATTAGTTTTATCTGAGGCGCTGTTACTGCTAGTATGAGCGAAAAGGCAAATAACATTATTTGAGTGTCTATAAATTTAAACTTTGAATTCAGTTCATTCATTTAAAGAAAGCAATGAAACCCAGATCTATGTGAATAAACAAAATGTTTTCTGGGTTAAGTATTGCCTCCAGTTTTGTAAGTAAAGTTGATTTAGAAATAATTTACATATAAAAAATGTACACTTTGAAAAATATTGGTCCTGAGGCTCTTTGTAAAGCAAATATAAATCTTCTTTGGAGCCACACTACCAAAACCCATGTCATCCAACAGGAAAAAAGAAAACTAAGTGAGTGAAGATTTCAAACAAAGAATTAGCAAATATTCATGGGAATGTGCCATTGTAAGAAAGAAAGATAAGAAAAACAAACCAATCACAATATCAAGAATGTCAGACGTAAGGAAGTCAGTTTTATTTTTCAATTGATTTTTTGAGAGAGAGAGATACATCAATTGGCTGCCTCCTGCATGCCCCCTACTGGGGATCAAGCCCACAACCTAGGCATGTGCCCTGACCAGGAACTGAACCAGGACTTCTCAGTCCATGGGACAATGTTCAATCCACTGAGCCACACTGACCAGGCAAGGAAGTCAATTTATTTTTTCTTTCTTTTTTCTTTTAGAGAGAGAGAGGTAGGGGGAGAGAGAGAGGGGGAGAGAGAGAGAAACATCAATGAGAGAGAACATCCATTGGCCGCCTCCTGCATGCCCCCCACTGGAGAGTGGGCCCACAACCTGGGCATGTGTGCTGACCTCTTGGTGCTTGGGTCTATGCTCAACCACTGAGCCACACCAGCCGGGCAGGAAGTCAATTTTAAAACAGAGGTAAAATAATCATGATAAAATGTATCAAAGACACTAAAGAAGATATCAAGCCTTTAAGAAAGACAAAAACACCCTGGCCAGTGGGGCTCCATTGGTTGAGTGTCATTCCATGCACCAGAAGATCACCAGTTCGAATCCTGGTCAAGGCACATACCCAGGCTGCAGGTGTGTTGTTTCTCTCTCACATCAGTGTTTCTCTTTCTCTCTCCCTCTCCTTTCTTCTCTCTAAAAATCAATAAAACATTTTTTTTTTAAAGAAAGACTGAGGCGAAAACCACTATGAAAAATCACCTCATACCTGTTAGAATGGCTATTATCAAAAAGAGTAGAGCCCTGGCTGGTTTTGCTCAGTGGTTAGAGTATAGGTCTGTGGACTGAGGGGTCATGGGTTTGATTCCTGGTCAAAGATACAGGGTCATGTGGGGAGGCAACCAATTGATGTGACTCTCTCACATTGATGTTTCACTCTCTTCCTCCCTTCCACACTATCTAAAAATCAATGGAAAAATATCCTCCAGTGAGGATTAACAAAATAAAAAAATTGAATAAGGAGAGATATAACAAGTGTTGGCAAGGACATGGAGAAAAGAAAACACTTGTGCACTGTTGGTGTGAATATAAATTGGTGTAGCCACTATGGAAAACAGTATGGAGACTCCTCAAAAAAGAAAAGAGAAGGGAGGGGAGGGGAGAGGAGGGGAGGGAAGGGCTACCATTCGATCCAGCAATCCCACTTTGAGGTATTTATTCAAAGAAAACAAAAACACTAATTCTAAAAGATCTATCACTAATTGATGACAATTGTTAACTTTTCTTATGCTTCTAAAAAATACAATTTTACTGAATTAACTCAATACATGTATTCAACAAAATTTAAATTATATTTCACATGTTTACTAATCTGCATAGTTCACATGCGTATTTCCTCATACTCAAATTGTTTTTGAGTATATATTTTTTACATTTTATTTTAAAATAATTTAAGGTTTTTAGTAAAGTTGCAAAAAATAATACAAAACAAATCCTTTATAACTTTCACCCAAAGTCTCCAGTTGCTAACACTTTACATTTACCTAATCATTCTTGCTCACATATTCATATTATTACATATTATGTTCTATATGTGTTATTCTCCTACTTCCATTCCCGAGCCATTTGAAAGCAAGTTGCAAATATTATGTCCCCTTACTCTAAAATGTAGCAGTGGGTATTTCCAGAAAACAAGGACACACTCACCTACATAACCACAGTTCGACCCTTCAGAATCAAGAACTTTGTGTTAATACAGTAGTATCATGTAATCTACAGATGTAATTTAAATCTTATCAACTGTCCTAGGTAGGCAGAAGCTGATCATCTCACTGCTGTATTCATGTTATGTGAATTTTCACAAAGTCTGTAATATCAGTCACTAATCCATACAGCCTTGGTTCCTTTTAGTGGAGAACAGTATTTAGAATCCAAGTCCGGATGCTAGGTGTGCTTATTGCCACCATTATTTGCAGTCCCTCAGTACATGGACCTAGGAAGCATATGAATGTTTAAACACAAAACTAGATAGATAGATAGATAGATAGATAGATAGATAGATAGATAGATAGATAGATCTCCAAGACTTCAAATTCCAGTCCAACACAATACATATTTTTTTAAGCCTTTTTCCCTGCTCTATAATTTTACCTTCTCTAAAATGGCTTCTGTTTTCCACAATATATTTATTTTCATTTGCTCATGTTGAAATCCATGATATCATCACAGTGGAGCCTCTTCAACTTGAGACTGAGTTCTTTTGACATATAACTCTAGAAGTTTTTTATTGTTTCCTTGCTATTTGGCATGATGAGTTCTAGGCTCATTTTGTACATTTCCTGCCCCAGAAACAAGAAACAAGCTATTTCTTCAAGTCCATATACCTTTTAGTGGGAAACTGTATTTCAAGACCACAATGTGAGCACTAAGGATATTTATTGTCATATCTAAGTTGCTTTAATACAGAGCTAGGGAGAGATCTATATCTATATCTACATCTATAACTATATTTTAATCTATACCTATGTCCATAAAGATATATTTTATTCTCCTACTTCAAATTCAAGACTATAGGAGTTTATGTAACTTTTTCTGTTTACATGGTTATTTCCTTTCATGCTGAGAATCCTAATTCTCAAGAACATAGAGGATGACAGAACTTGCATATTCCGTAAGTACTCATTTACTTTATTCCTCACTACATGCACAACAATCTCCAGAAAAACAATATTAGTACAACTATCACCAATACAACTGTTGAGAACAATTTAAAATGTTCACATACCCTTTTCATTATACCCACTCTACTCCTCTCTATTTTAACAGATGCATTACATATTATCTGACTCTATACCTATTAAATACTTTACCTAAGTCTCTGTAACCCTTTAATTCTACAAAGAATTCTATGTTTAATGCTCACCACTAGTTTCTTAGAATTGAAACCCATTCTTTAGTGGATTTCAGAAAGGGCTAGAATGTTTTCTAAAATTTTTCATATTGCTCTGGCTGGCGTGGCTCAATTGTTTGGAGCATCATCCTATGCACCAGAAGGTCACAAGTTTGATTCCTGGTAAGGGCACATGCCGAGGTTGCAGGTTTGATCCTGGGTTGGAGCACATGTGAGAGTCAAATGATTGATGTGTCTCTCTCACATCAATGTTTTTCTCTCTCTTGTCTCTCTCTCTCTCTCTCTGTTTCTTTCTGTCTCACTTCCTCTCTAAAATCAATTTTAAAAATTAAAAATTTCTTTCATATTAATAACAGTTTGTCTGTGGTCTTTACACTTGAAAATAAGTTTTCTAAATATAAAATCCTTGGCTCTGATTTTCTTTCCTTGAGATTTTTTTATTTTATTCCAATAATGAATTCTTAGTTTTCGTACTTGCTTCAGCAGCACATATACTAAAATTGGACCAATAAAGAGAAGATTAGCATGGCCCCTGTGCAAGGATGCAATGCAAAATTTGTGAAGCATTTCATATTTTTAGAAATAGAGGAAGATATAAAAAAGTGGAAGAATATACCTTGTTCATGCATTAGAAGAATTAACATCATTAAAATGTCCATACTATTGCCCTGGCCGGTTTGGCTCAGCGGTTAGAGCATCGGCCTGCGGTCCAGAGAGACCCGGGTTCGGTTCCCGCTAAGGGTATGTACCTCGGTTGCAGTTTGTCCCCAGCCCTGGTTGGTTGTGCGGGTGGCAGCCACTCGATGTGTCCCTTTCATGTCGATGTTTCTCTCTCTCTCTCTCTTCCTCTCTCTCCCTCCCACTCTATCTGTGCAAAAAATGGAAAAATGTCCTCGGGTGAGGATAAAAAAAAATAAAAAAAAAGCTGTGGTACATATACACAATGGAACACTATGCAGCTATACAAAAGAAAGAGCTCTTATCCTTTGAGATGACATGGAAGGACCTAGAGAGTATTAGCTAAGTGAAATAAGCCAATAAGACAAATACCGCATGATTTCACTTATTTGTGGACTACAATAAACAAAGTAAGCTGGTGAACAAAATAGACCCAGAGACATAAAAGTAAAGTACAGACTGACAAACCTCAGAGGAGGAGGTGCAGGAGGGAGGAAAGAGATAAACCAAAGAATTTATATGCATATATGTGTAACCAATGGACACAGACAACAATGCCATGGGGGCAAGGGCAGGAGGAAGGGTGTCAATGTGGGAAAAAGGAGAAACATTTGTTAACAAAAATAAATTAATTAATAATAAAAATAGATAAATAAAATGATATATAAAACATTAAAAATAATAATCCAAGCCCTTTATTTTTAATTTTTACAAAATATGTAGTTATTGATTTCAGAGAGAGAGAGAGAGAAAAAAATTGATCTGCTGCCTTCTGCACAGCCCCTACTGGGAATCACAACCAAGGCATATTCCCTGTCTGGGAATTGAACCAGCAACCCCCGGTGCATAGGGAGTCACTCAACCAACTGAGCCACACCAGCTGGGCTAATCCAAGGCCTTTAAAAACACTTTTTTTTTCTGGCTGGTAGGCAGAAGGGGAAGTCAGAGAAACTCAAAGCATGAAGACTTACTGTACTGATGCTGCTTTTTAAAAAATTAACCCTCTGGCCGGTTTGGTTCAGCAGTTAGAGCGTTGGTCTGTGGACCCAAGAGTCAGGGTTTCAATTCCAGTAAAGGGCACATACCTCGGTTACAGTTTGGTCCCCGGCCCTGAACGGGGTCGTACAGGAGGGAACCAGTTGATGTGTGTCTCTCACGTCAATGTTTCTCTCTCTCTCTCTCTTTCTCTCCCCCTCCCACTTTATCTGAAGATAAATGGAAAAATATCATTGGATGAGGATTTAAAAATTAATTAACTAATTAATTAATTTTAATTTATTGGGGTAACACTGGTTAATAGAATCATATAGGTTTCAGGTGTGAAAATCTTTGACACAAGATACATATATTGCACTGTGTGACCCCACCCAAAGTCACATCCTCTTCTATCACCATATATTAAGTCCCTTTCGCTCCCCTGCTCCCTTTTCTCTGGAAACCATCACACTGCTGTTTGTGTCCATGAGTTTCAGTTTTATAGTCCACATATGAGTGAAATCATATGGTTCTTAGCTTTTTATGCCTGACTTATTTCACTTAGCTTAATATTCTCAAGATCCATCCATGTTGTCCCAAATGGCAGTATTTCATTTTTTCTGGTGGCTGAGTAGTATTCCGTTGTGTATATGTACTACTTCTTTTTTTTTAATCCTCACCCGAGGACATTTTTGTATTTACCTTCAGATAGAGCAGGAGGGAGAGAGGGAGGGAGAGAGAAAAACATCGACACATCAAGTGGTTGCCACCCACACGACCCCAACCGGAGTCGGGGACAAACTGCAACTGAGGTACATGCCCTTAGGGGAAACTGAACCCAGAACTCTGGTCCACGGGCCGATGCTCTAAGCGCTGAGCCAAACTGGCCAGGGCTGTACCACATCTTCTTTATCCAGTCCTCTATTAAAGAACACCTTAGTTGTCTCCATGTCTTGGCCACTTGAATAATGCTGCAATTAACATAGGGTTGCATATATATTTGCAAACACATGTTTTCAAGTTTTTGGGGTATATATCCAGAAGAGAGATTGCTTGCTCATATGGTAGCTCTAGTCTTAATTTTTTAAGGAATCACCAGACTGTTTTCTATAGTGGCTGTACCAGTCTACAACAGCAGTGAATGAGGGTTCCCTTTTCTCTACAACCTCTCTAACACTTCATGTCACTTGTCTTGTTGATCATAGCCATTCTAACAGGTATGAGGTGGTATCTCATTGTAGTTCTGATCTGCATTTCTCTTATTGCTAGTGAGGCTGAACATCTTTTCATATATCTGTTGGCTATCTTCTTGGGAGAGGTGTCTGTTAGGGTGTTCTGCCCATTTTTTAATTGGGTTGTGTGTTTGTTTGGTGTTGAGTTTTATGAGTTCTTTATATATTTTGGATAGTAAACCTTTGTCAGAGCTATTGTTTGCAAATATCATCTCCCATTTGGTTGGCTACCTCTTTGTTTTGTTGTTGGTTTCTTTTGCTGTGCAGAAGCTTTTTAGTTTGATATAGTACCATTCATTTATTTTTGCCTTTACTTCCCTTGCCTTTGGAATCAAGTTCATAAAATGTTCTCTATGACCAAGGTCCATAAGTTTAGTATTTATGTTTTCTTCTATGTGATTTATTGTTTCAGAGCTTATATTTAGGTCTTAGATTCATTTTGAATTAATTTTTGTACATGGTAACAAACTGTAATCCAGTTTCATTATTTTGCATGTGGCTTTCCGATTTTCTCAGCACCATTTATTGAAGAGGCTTTCTTTACTCCATTGTGTGTTACTGGTTCCTTTGTTGAAAATTATCTGCCCATATATAGGTGGTTTTATTGCTGAGCTCTCAATTATGTTCCATTAATCTCTGTGTCTGTTTTTCTGCCAATATCATGCTGTTTTGATTATTGTGGCTCTGTAGTATAATTTGAAGTCAGGCAGTGTGATATCTCCAGCTTTGTTCTTTTCTCTCAGGATTGCTTCGGCTATGTGGGGTCTTTTGTGGTTCTATACAAACCTGATTTTTTTTGTTCTATTTCTTTAAAAATGACATTGGGGCTTTGATGGGGATTGCATTAAATCTGTATACTGCTTTGGATAATATGGCCATTTTAACTATGTTGATTCTTCCAATCCATGAACATGAGATGCCACAGTCCAGCTACAGCAGGATCCAGGGGGTCCCGAAGGTGGGTAAGGCACTGGCACTGGGAAACAGGTGACTACACGACTTAGAGAAAGTGTGACACTGTTTCGATTTATTGCAAGTTTCTATGTGTTTATATACTTTCTTTTTTGGCATGAGTTTAACATTTGAGATTAAAGAAGCAGGGAGTTTCATTCCTTGGTACCAGGATGTTAGTTTCATTTTTGTCAGAATTAATTTATAACACTTTTGTGTTTATAGATACTATTAAAGAAGGGAGTAGAGTAACCTGTAAGGTGAGACAGAGTTTTCTATAGGCCCTTTGTCTGAGATTAATAGTTGACCTTTATATAAAATCTAGTTCTGGGTTTTTAGATCAGCTAGTTTTGATTTACCTCCCTAGCTAACTCAACATTTTTTATAAAACCTATTCAATTACAGTGATTGAGATTTCTTTTGTTCCTTTGTGCATAAGCACCAAGGGGGACCTTGGCGTGCCAATCATTCCATGAAGGCAAGCTTGCATAAGGAACATTTAGTTCATCTTTGTTAACTATTTTTATTCTATCTGGAGAGAAGGCACAGGAGTATAAGGTGCCTCTATTAGTTCTACCTGTCACAATTCATCCATGAATTGTTTATTGGGGACTTTCGGGGAAAATTTTTACCTAATTGAATTAGTAAATTATTAAGACAGTCTGGACATGCCGTGGTGACTGTTTCAGGGAAAGCTGGAGTTTCTTCAGAGTTTAATTGAAGAGGCATGATTTCAGATATCTTATTTGTTATTCCCAGGTTAGTCATATAGTAGAATAATAATTATTATAATTCCCGTGATACCGATTAATTCCACTCCCATGCTACGTCCTCTTTCTAGAAGATGTATTCCTTGAAGCTTTCTTATCCATATCCGGACTTTGTCAGACAATATGGTTGGAAGAGGACGCAGCAATGGGGTATTTTTCCAATTTGTTACCTTTTTCAATCTTTTTAAATAATCCTTTAGAGTTTTCAGTATATAGGTCTTTCATGTTCTTTGTTGAGTTTATTCCTAGGTATTTTATTCTTTTGGTTGCAGTGCAAAAGGAATTGTTTTGGGGTGTTTTTTTTTTCATTTCTTTTTCTAAAGTTTTTTGTTAGTATACAAGAAGGCAGTGGATTTATGTACCTTGATTTTGTATCCTGCAACTTTACTGTATTTATTGTTTCTAGTAGGGTTTTTTGTTGTTGTTGTTGTTGTTGTTGTTCAGATAGAGGGGGAGGGAGAGAGAGGAAGAGAGAGAGAGAGAAACATCAACGTGAAAGGGACACGTCAAGTGGTCGCCATCCACACAACCCAACCAGGATCGGGGACAAACTGCAACCGAGGTACACGCCCCCAGCGGGAACCGAACCTGGGTCTCTCTGGACCGCAGGCCAACGCTCTACCTGCTGGGCCAAACCGGCCAGGGCTCTAATAGGTTATTTTGGTGGAGTCCTTAGAGTTTTCTATGTACAGAATCATGTCAACTGCAAAAAGTGACACTTTTACTTCTTCCTTCCCAATTTGGATGCCTTTTATTTCTTTCTCTTGCGTTATTACTCTGACTAGGACTTCCAGAACTATGTTGAATAACAGTGGTGAGAATGAGCATCCTTATCTTGTTCCCAATTTTAGAGAAACATTTTCAGTTTTTCACCATTGAGTATAATATCGACTGAGGGTTTATCATATATGGCCTTTATTATGTTGAGGTACTTTCCTCCTATTCCTGTTTTACTTAGTGTTTTAATCATAA